TTATCTTTATCTGATTAACTTGCTAATACTAATAGACGTTTGCATTATTCAATAGATCCAGATCCAGCATTTAATAATCCATAAGCAATACTAGCACCTTCTCCATAAATTGATTCATTTTTTGAAACTAAATTATGATAATCTTAATTCAATTTTTCATCTTCAGAAGCAAATGCTACTAATCCTGAACCTAAACATGCACCATGAATTATTTGCTCTTTTTGAGATTTCATATGATCTGATAATTTGAGCAACAATTATTAATCTTGAGTTCCAAAATGAATAAGTCCTAATCCATAAAGAGCACCTCCAATTTCAAATGGATTAGTCTAAGATAAATGAGTTGCCATAATTTATTAGGATTCTTCTATATTGTATTTATGAATCATTCCTAAAGTAGATGTAGCAGTAAATCTCTACCAATAATTACATTTAGTTGCCCATTATTAATTTGCCTATAAGAAAGATGTATCTTATGTGCCTGCAGTTGCTAAAGCATGACCAAACATGCATGCACCATGTAAAACACTTGATTGTTTTGGATCATTTGGTCCTTTAATTTTATTTAAGACTTCAACATCAATTTACTTATGATTCTTTAAAAAGTATAAATATGCTTTTCTTTGTTATTCTCCTGATAACAATTTAATTAATTTGTCTCTAACTTCTTGGAATTATTGATCAATAGGCAATGCAGCTATGATTTTTTGAATAAATTATGGTTTTTAATTTTATGCTAAATCTATGCATAATTGTTCAGCTAATAATAATGGAGTACCAGTTTATAATTTGTAATGATTTTCATTAGTTACCAAAGTCCAAAGAATTTCAGCAACTTTGATAGCCTCTCCTAATTGAATTAAGGTTGTGACAAATTAACCCCATTCTTCATTTGGTATTTGACCATGTTTTGCCTCTTCATATATTAGATCAACTGAGAGTCTTAATAATTATTCTTTGAATTCTCCTCTTTATGTATTAAAAAGATGAAGAACAGATATCATTTTACCAGGATAATTCCATTTATTAAGAATTTCAGCTACCCAATCAATCCTTTTGCATTCAACTGCTACACCTATAGCAGAAATATGATTATTTTATCCACATGACAATTCTAAAATATGTTTAATTAGTCTTATTCTTTCTTCAGATGCTCTTCCTGATTAACGATATTACTCAATACAATGTTTTATTAAACATTGATTAAATTTATCATTCAAATCTGATTACCAATATTATCCACTCTGTAAAGCATAATTAAGAGATTCGTCAAAGTTATCTAGATGATATTGAATCTTGGCACATAAATAAGAGGCTAATTATCTTTCAGGAAATTTTGGATCTTCACTTAATGCTTCTCTATAAGAAATATATATTTTGGATTTACATTTAACTAAGTAATTCAGATATCTCTGACCAATGTTGATCCACTTAGTTTAACATTTCTTTTAATGCTAAAATACGAAGATCATTATCTTTTTCCAATAAAAGAGTATTGAAATTCATAAATTTAAATTGTAAATAATACTAATCTAAAAAAACATTCACTTAATTTATATTCTTAAATCATCTCAAATTTATATATAAATTTATTTCATTATCTTATACACTTCAATAAATATATTTTATAGTATAGATGATATTAAATGATAATACAATAAATTAGTTATATATATTTATATATAAAACAAAATAAATAATTATTTTTATCTAACATGATAAATACCAATGACAATTTAGAAGATGAATTTGATGGACTTACAATAGAGAAATTATCAGGAATTAAGAGATCTATATTATAATCTAGAGATGTTCATGATTGGTTTAAGAAAAGGTTAATTATTGTATTGTAATTTTCAGATATAATGATAAAGTCAAAAAGAAATATTTATATTTCCCAGAAGAAATCAAATAATAATTAGAAGTTAAAAAGATCTTCTAAAATTTTGACTAAAATAAATCAAGTATGGAAGTTAAATTTAATTTAGACAATTTGGATATGAGTGAATTATATGAGATGTTTTAAAAAAATGGTTTCAAAATTACTGAAGAACAATTGCAAAAGTTTTTCAAAATTGTTGATAAAGATAGAGATAGTAATTGATAAATGTAATCAAAGATGCTTTAAATTGGAGTGAATTCAAAAATTCAGCTTTCAACGAACAGGCCGCACAAGGTATGCACATTCCTATATCTTTTTTAGTCTTCTATGAAATCATGAAAGAACTAAGAGAGAATATGGAAAAGGAATAAAAATTAGACAGTTCTTCTCCTGCTGGAAAATACATGCCATTTACTTTTAACAATATGATCTCTTATTTAAGTTATCTAGCCAGTCGTGATGAATTAAAAAAAGCCATTGATGTTTTATACTATCTTTCTATTAATAGGATACTTCCATTTCTCAATTAGAGAAGTTCAAAAAATATATGGAAATGATTAATCTCAATTAAACTATTAGTGTTTAAAAAAGAAATCAATCAACACCTGAAGTTGATATTATTCATGAAGAAGTAGGAGAAAGTCAAAATCTAGATTAAGAATAAGAATTTGTTAAAAGAAATGAACAAAGGTTTAACTTATATAAAAACTCTTGTAAAATACATTTATTGAATATAGTTTATAATTCTTAGAGTGCTTCTAAAAGTCCCAAATCATAAAAATAACCTAATATATTATAGAAGGAATAATAATTAAAAGTTCCAAAAAAATTAAGAGAAATTGATGCTATTGTAAGATCACATTAAGTTCCTGAGACTTAAAGTTTATTTAAATTAAAGGAAAAAACTAATAATTCTATCATTAAATTGAAGCAAGATGTATCTAAATATATACATTTAGCTAAAACTTAATATAATATAAATGTAGATGAATTATAAATCGTATATACTTTTTATTATTTTTATAGTAAAGCACAAAAAACAAACCTCCACTTACATTGAAAATCAGGAATTTCGAAGAAGACTTTAAAAATGCACTAGCAGCACATTAAATGTCATATAGTAATTCTGAACCATATTTTAAATTCAATGGATCCTCAGTTTAGGAACATCAATTACCAATTCTTGAAGAAAAATCAAAGACTATTACTAATCCAATTTTACCTGGAGATCATTTACCAATTTCAGTTTTATAAGAATTAAGAAAATTTTAAAGAACATAGTAAAATTCATTTAATTCCAATACATTTAAATCTTTATTTAAAACCCAAAGCGATGTATAATTTAACAATAAATAATTAGTTTACCAAAACAGCTATCAGTTAAAAATCAAGATCTTAAGGAAGATTTATGAATATTCAAAATCATGAAAAATTCTAATTTAGTGTTCCTTAAACTGCAAAACCAAATTAACTTAGAAGCTAATTATCAACAGCACCTTAATTGAGAGTAGGAACTAATTATGGAATGAAAGTAATTGAATATTATATTAATATTTAGAATCATCAGAAAATTGAGATCCAACCTTTACTAGGAAAATCACTGATTAAATAATGAATAATTTATTTTTTATTTTTTACAATAAGTGAAGAACTTAACTTAACATTTGATGGTTATTTAAATCTTTGCTTTCTATAAAAATATTCCAAAGTTCAAAAGATTAATAAAAAATAATTGATAATATATTACCAAATTTGAAGAATTACTAACCAAATAATAATTAATAATAATATTTATAAAATATAGTTTCTATTTTGAATGTTTAATCAAGTTTTGTAATGAATTTTCAAGTGTTAATTAATAATAAATTTTAAGCTTAGTAGGTAAATAGAGAAAATATTGTGTATTTTAATTATAAATAAAAGATTATTTAAAAAATGTTAAGGTTGATATTAATAAAGTTAATTAATTGAATAATCTAAATTAAAGAATATAGGATAGCTCAAGAAAACACAAAATAAAAAATGAAGTTTATAATTAATTAATTAATTGAAATTTGAATGATTGTTTTGATAATTCCTCTTTTGTATATTGTTTAAAGTTAAACAGCAACAACAATAAGTTATGCTAGTTAAGGATCTGATTGGACCTCAGGAGTATGTTCAAGTGATACTATTATTTATAATATTAGGCAGTACTTCTCAAAGTCCAATTAACTTAGAAGTATCATCTGGTACATGTGACAATTCTATGGTTCTTGACATTTAATTTAAGAAGGATGCTATGTAAATAGTTATGGAAAGAGTACAATATACAATATAATCGAAAGCAGCAGTCTCAAATTTATATGCAACAGACATCAATGGAAATCTTTATGGTATTGTATTTAAATATCTTAGGTTACACTGCAACTTAATTTATGTTTCATGGTCCTTCTGAACATACAATCGAAGGAACTAGATATGATCTAGAAATGCAAATTATGCATGAATTAAAAGTAATTTATATATATATATTCAATTTAAGTCTGAATTCAGTGCCACTATAACTAAGGCTGTTGTTTCAATATTATTTGAAGTATCTAGTACAGATCAACCATTTTTTACAACATATGATTTTACATTGGTAGCATCTGCAGCAACAAATACTACTACTAATTCCACCACTAATTCAACAGCTAATTCAACTAATACATCAACACCAACATCTGTAACTTCCACAATAGCTTCAATTAATTTCAATGATTTATTAGGTTCATAATTAGATGCTAATCCAGCTTATTATACTTATGTTGGATCCTTAACTATTCCAGGTTTAATTATTATTAAATATATTAGATTGTGATGATAATGTGAATTGGTATATACTTGATTCCATATTACCAATCACTTAGACTTAATTAGATGCTTTTAATACTTATTTTTTAAGCAATTCAACTTTCGCTTCTGGAAATGGTAATAATAGGGCTATTCAATCAACAAACGATAGAACAATTAAAAAAGGAGGAGTGGCTTGTGAAGAGTAGTTTGTCTACTTTTTCTCCTTCTTCATCCTATACATTTTTATTAATTATTTCATATTCAAATTGTTATGATCATTATTATTAATTAGAATTTAATCATGGGTTAAATAAACCCAAAATATTCACCACCTTCTCCTGATAAATTAAAACTTACCTATTAAATAAGAAATCAGGCAAAAGTATTATCATTTATTATCTTTTTAAAGCCTATTACACTAGTCTTTGATACTTAATTTTAAGTTAATGAGATTAATCAAAATGATTGGGATTTGGTCATTTCATCTATAAACATGAAAATTGATAAAATAAATAAACTATAACAACTTCCTATAAGTATATTAAATATCTGATATCTTAGATTTCAAAGCTCAATTAATTCAATCATTTATGATGAACAAATCCATTGAAACAGCCCCATGCATTACTGGTTCTGAAGAAGGACTTTAAGAATTACTAATATATTTGCGTACTCTTAATAAAGAAGATTTATAAAAATTCATTGAAGATAAATAATTGATAGAATAATTAAGGAATCTATTAAAAGTAGAATGTGAAGGATATCATGATAAAGAAGTAAAATATTTAAATATTATCTAAAGTGTTTAATTTTAAACATCTTATTACATTGTATTCAATAGAATTGTAATTTAGATTTAAATTAACCCATTTTAAATGAACTTGCAGAAATTTTGAATCCTTTGCACTCTGTTAACTTTAGTCTACTTTTAGAAATCTATATAGTTATTTGTAAAAATTAAACTGATGAAAAAATGAATTAAATTTCAATATCATGGATGGAAATGAAAAGAAACGGAATGTGGAATTATCCATTTGAACCATTTATTCAAATCTTATAATTAAATAAAAGTGTCTTCTCCATTATGAATATGGTTAGATTTATAAATTATTTTATGGAAGCACACGAAGATGTTGAATATAGCAATAAATTAAAAACACTACTTATTAATTTTGGATTAAGATTTTTAATTGAGGATGTCAAAGCTAAAATCTAAACTGGTTATTATAAAATAGAACATTGCACCTATTAATATATGGATGAAATGCTCCTTGAATAATATCAACATTATAAAATCAATCCTTCATCTAGAAAAAGAAAACTACTTCCTCCAGATGGTAAACCAGTAGAATTAAGTGTTTGTGCAGCACTCTGTGCAGACTTATTTATAGATCTCTAAGATCCAGAAGCTTAAAAAAAATATGAATATGCAGTATCAGAAGCTCTTGCATAAATAGATGCTTTCCTAGAATTAACTGAAAAAGTATATGCAAAAGTTATGAAACCAAAAAAATTAATTGTTGACAAAAAGTCAAGAACAAAAAGAGCAGGATCTATTACAACATTCCTTGATGAAGAAAGGTCAATCAAACTAAGAATTCCTGATTTAGATTATCAAAAACTTCTCACATAAATCAGAGAAGCTACTTTATTTCCCTAAGTTTTAGATGCTTTCTAAGATTATTTATAATCTGCTGCAAAAATTGGAGTTAACGTCATATCGTAAATGATGTCTGTAGCTGTTGATAAAATGATTGAACTTAGAAAGAACGATCCTTTAAAATTAGATTTATAGGCATCAGAAGAAAAATGTACTCAACTAGAAAATTAAATTAGATCTTATATTAATGAGAAAGCTAAGATGCAATAAGAATTAAATTAGCTAAAAGAAAAATTAATCGATGCTAACAAATATATCAAAAATATCGAGCTGAAATTGTAAACCTAAGAATAAATTATTCAGACATATAATAGTTAATCTAATACAGAAAAATCGCATCCTCCTCCACCACCACCACCTCCTTTGCCTGGATAAAAAGCATCACCTCCACCTCCACCTCCTCCTCCGTTACCTGGTTAAAAAGCAATACCTCCTCCTCCACCTCCTTTGCCTGGATAAAAAGCATCACCTCCACCTCCACCTCCTCCTCCGTTACCTGGTTAAAAAGCAATACCTCCTCCTCCACCTCCTTTGCCTGGATAAAAAGCATCACCTCCACCTCCACCTCCTCCTCCGTTACCTGGTTAAAAAGCAATACCTCCTCCTCCACCTCCTTTGCCTGGATAAAAAGCATCACCTCCACCTCCACCTCCTCCTCCGTTACCTGGTTAAAAAGCAATACCTCCTCCTCCACCTCCTTTGCCTGGATAAAAAGCATCACCTCCACCTCCACCTCCTCCTCCGTTACCTGGTTAAAAAGCAATACCTCCTCCTCCACCTCCTTTGCCTGGATAAAAAGCATCACCTCCACCTCCACCTCCTCCTCCGTTACCTGGTTAAAAAGCAATACCTCCTCCTCCACCTCCTTTGCCTGGATAAAAAGCATCACCTCCACCTCCACCTCCTCCTCCGTTACCTGGTTAAAAAGCAATACCTCCTCCTCCACCTCCTTTGCCTGGATAAAAAGCATCACCTCCACCTCCACCTCCTCCTCCGTTACCTGGTTAAAAAGCAATACCTCCTCCTCCACCTCCTTTGCCTGGATAAAAAGCATCACCTCCACCTCCACCTCCTCCTCCGTTACCTGGTTAAAAAGCAATACCTCCTCCTCCACCTCCTTTGCCTGGATAAAAAGCATCACCTCCACCTCCACCTCCTCCTCCGTTACCTGGTTAAAAAGCAATACCTCCTCCTCCACCTCCGTTACCTGGTCAAAAAGCAATTCCACCTCCTCCACCTCCACCTCCGTTACCTGGTTAAAAAGCAATACCTCCTCCCCCTCCTCCTCCTTTACCTGGATAAAAAGCAGGACCTCCACCACCACCTCCTCCTCCTCCAATGCCAGGATAAAAAGCTGGACCTCCTGGTCCTCCACCACCACCGCCTCCTCCAGGTTAAAAAGGAATTCCTCCTCCACCGCCTTCATTTGGTGGAGCTAATGCCAAAGGGCCAGGAATACCTCAATAAGTTGGAAAGAAGAAATAAAATCCTTAGAAACCAATGAAATAAGTCCCTTGGGTTGTAATAAAAGATGATAAGATAAAATCAACAATTTGGGAAAAGATTGACGATTCAAAAATAAAAATAAATACTTCATTATTGGAGGAGTAATTTTGTAAAGTTGAATTGGTTAAAGTAAGTGGAAATGCATTACCTTCTTAAAAATAATAGATTAAATAAAAGGTTTCTTAATTATAAGCAGAACGCTGTAAAAATGTTGAATTAGTAATTTCAAGATTAAAAATAAGTTCATTAACATTAAGAGAAGCTTTTTTAAAAATAGATACTAACATATTAACTGAGGAAAAGATAGCAATGATTATAAATGCAGTTCCAGAGAAAGAGGAATAAGAAATGTTTTTGCATTTCAATCCTTAAGACCTTTCAACAGTAGCAACACCAGATTTATATTTTATGGATTTAAGTACAGTACCATAAATAAAATTAAGAGCAGAAGCAATTGTAATAAGTTATGAATGGATGGGACTTTATGAAAGTGTTGAAGCAAAGTAAAATAAGATAGAAAATGGAATAAAATTGCAATAAGAAGATAAGAAATTATAAATAATGTTGGAATATTCTTTAGGTTATGGTAATTATTTAAATGGATAATCAACAAGAGGAGGAGCATATGCTTTTAAACTTGATATAATGAGTTAATTAGATGATGTAAAATCAAATGATAATAAAACAAATTTATTGATTGTTATAATTCTACACATTGAAGCAGATATAGGATATTCATTATATGATTAAGAATTTCTTGCAAAAATAGATTATGATTTTCTATGCAAAACATCAATATCTTCACTTACATAGGATATAAATGAATTAAAAAGAATGGAGAGAGTTGTAGAGAGAGCTAAAAAAAGTCATGGAGAAGATTCAAGTGATTAAGCTGGAGTAAAGTAAGATATATATATATATAAATAGATTCAAAGCATTATAAGAATAATTACAAGAGAAAATTAAGAAATTGGAAGAAAAAAATGTAATATTGGAGAGTAAATATAAAGCTTTATTACAATATTATTGTGAAGATTCAAAATTATAATCAGATGAATTCTTTACTAAGATTGATAAAATTTGGAAGGATTATTAAAATGTATTTATGTTAAATAATTTTATTAGGCTTTAACTCAAATAACTAGAATAAAATAATAAGAATAGAAATTACAAAGAGATTCAAGAAAAAAGATGTCATAATCTTGTAATCTTGAAGCTTTATAATAATAGAATGAAAATTTAAAAAATTAATAATAACTAAAATAATAATAATAATAATAATAGTAAAATTAAGAAATAAATTCAGGTTAAAATAAAAAAGATGTAATGGAAGAATTAAGAAGATTGTAATCTAGAAAAGCAGAATTAGCAGCTAAAAGATAATAAAAGACTATAGAATGATAAAGGGTTATTTATTTAATAAATTTAAAAATAAAGAAAAAATTGATGTGCATAACATAAATAGATAAATTCATTATCTATGGAGATAAGCAATAACAATAGATATATCGTCTATAACTTCATCTTCTTCTTACCATCTTTTAGTTGATTCTCTAACAATTATTTCACAGATCTCATCTATCTTTTTAGCAGACATATTAGGACTCCAATGAGATATCACAATTTTTTAAATTTCTTCATTTGAAAAGAACTCCCAAACTCCATCACTTGCTACTACTAAAAATGCACAATTAGCTTCCATTTTATGATGTATAATTTCAGGTTCAGCAGTTACTCCTACAGTTGAAGCAACATAATCTCCAAATGATCTACTCATAGCTAAACCTGGAATTTATTCATGTTATAACCAAACTCTTGCTGGTCCAATCTTTTCTCCTGTTTCTGTCATATAAGGTTCAACTCTTCCTCTATTAGAAATAATTCTCTTAAATTCTGAAGGTAAATCAGGTTTATGATCATTAGATAATTCTACAACATTCCATTTATTAAAATTTTGTTATTCAATAAAAATCTAATATAGTATATTTAATTTACAGATCTTGAATCTCCAATATTTGCACACCATAAATGAGGTCCAGATAAAAATACTAATGAACAAGTTGTTCCACTAAATGTAATATCAATTCCTGAATTTTATAAATCTTTTGTCATTTTATTAAAACTTGAATTCAAAACTTTATGAATTTCTTATTCATAAACTTCACTTATATCTTATTCTTATTTCCCTATAAATGTTTTAATTGATTAATCAATTAAAGTTGGAAGCACTTTTTTGACTAATTATGAAACATAATGTCCATAAACTCCATGTCCATCACAAACTGAGAAAATATATCTATTTTTAATTCCACCTAAATTATTTGTAATTATAACACTATCTTAATTAGTTTTTGTTTAACCATTTCCATTTTAACCAGCTTGAGATCTTATTTTATAATATTAATACTTTGAAAAGAACAATTAAACGTAATCTTGCATCTCATATTCATTTGTTACATTATTTACTAATGTTGCTTGACTTGTTGATCTTCCATGTAACATTACCATTTATTATGGCATTTTAGGCTTTATGCTTGTATCTTAATCAATAGTTTAAGATGCCATTTTTGCTCTTGAAACATTAACCTTCTGTTTAGGGGAAGTATCTTGAAGTAATTTAATTATTTATGCCCTGCTCTAAAAAATATATAATTTAAAAATACTGATGGTGTTACTTCATTACTAGCATCTGTTCTCTTACTTCTTTTTTAGGCTAATCCCAAATCGATTTTTTATAAAATATCTTAACTTGTTGTATTCTCTACCTTTTTTAAATTTGGTAATTTTGTAGGAGATGGTACCTAAATATATATTGAAAATACTTCTTATTAATTTGAACTTATAACTCTTTTCTTTGGTGAATAACTACTTGGCTATACTAAAGTTAATCTCTATTGTTGAATCTAACATAATTTATTTGAAATTACTATTTTCACTTTATCGTCTTATATTCCATTGCTTGCAGTCTAATATCTCTTCAATTGCATTTTACTCTTATTTTATTATTGCCCATTTCTAAATTAATCTCATTTTATATACATCACAGGAGACATATTTATAACATTTGATCTTTCTGATGGCTGTTATTATCCCTATTTTTTCTTTAGCTAAGGAGAACCTGCACTTGATTATTGATTGTTTGATTATTATTATGACTCATTAAATTTTATAGGAAACACTCTTACTGGGTTCATCAAATAATATTTTATTTACTTATATAATTTTATTACAACTTTCAGATAAAAAATAATTATTGTATTTAGGTATTTCTATACATCTATTCTATTATAATTTGTATATAAATTTTATCAAATAGATAAGTATTTCAAAATCATACTTTATTATAATACTACTATTGATTATTATTTTTTAAATTTCTTTTTCAAATAATTATAAACAATTTCATAATATGAGATAAATTCTTTGTATATTATATCAATTATATGCTTATCAATATTATTTTAATTCAAAAAGATTGGAATTTTAAATATCTTAAAAATTACAAAATTTTTACAGCACAAACAAAAATAAATCATTAAAATCATTCTCATTCAATAATAGATATATTACTAAAAAGAAAATTATCAAATAAAATTGATGGAGATTTTGATAATAATAATAGTAAATTAAAAATAATAATAAGAATTTTAATTTAAATTGGAAAATATATAGTATGGATTATTATTATTTCAAAATTTATTTTAGGGTATAATTTGAACACTGTATAATAATTTTTTTTTAATTCGGAAAATAGGATTTATTGATCATTCTATGATTGAAAATAACTATTTCATAATGAGAAAATGAAAAATTTAATAAAAATGAAAATTCATAATTAAGTATATAGAAAATTATTGAAATTATTGGATTGTATTTATAATATTGTTTTCAATCAATCATTTAAGAAATTTATCCTTAAATTATTAAAATATTCCTTTTTTATTTTCTTATTTAGTATTATTTTATTAAGTAGATTTTTCATCTTTTTATTATTCTTCTAAAATATTTTCTTCTTCTTCTAATTGATGACTTTTTTAAGTAAATTCTTTTATTAAATTAGCTTCTTTTTCTTTATCTATTGTTTTAACATCAATAATAAACATAGCAATTACTGGTAAATGATCACTTTCAAATCTATCAATACTTTTATAAAATAATTATTTGATTAATGCTTATTCATTTGTTTTAATAAAGATTCTATCACAATAAGATGGAATTTATTCTTGTTTCTTTGTTTAATAAGTATGATTAACATTTAATTTATATGTAGGTAAGAAAGTTATACAAGCTTCTTAATATTCTTGTAGAGGATATTTTGCTTTTGCCTCATAAACTTAATCTGATTATTAAAGTTTAATGATACATTATTCAGCTTATCTTAAATTACCTTTTTAATTAAATTCTTTTTATTATTAAATTAGATCCAAAATTTAAGTTTAATTTGATTTTAATCTAAAATTTAAATCTCCCATTAATAATGTATAATCTGATAAATCAATAGATTTCATTTAATTTTTAAAAGCTTTTTCATGTATTTCTTCAAGACTTTCAATTCTTCTTTTATTTTTATTATTTCCAGATGCTAAATGACAATTACAAATAGTAATTTCAGAATCTTTGATCTAAAATCTAATTAAACATGCTCCTTTATTTCCAGCATGACCTTCAAGACCTGTTTTAATTTTATCAGTTGAAATTTTACTGATTAATTAAACAAGTGATACTTTTGAATAGATTAATATAAGCATTCCAACTAGATTTTCTTATTAAACTAAACAGAATTAATTTCCATTAATATTTATAGATGAATCTATACTTTTAATCCATTCATTTACAATATCTTGATTTTATCCAATCATCTTATGAGCTTTATATTATTATATTTCTTATAAAGAAATGACAATAAAATCTGGAATATAATCTTAATGAAATTGTAAAACATCATTTTATAAATTGTACATTAAATTACCATTTACATTCCAAGTTAATGCAAATAATTTATATTTTTGAAATTTACAATAAGATTTAACTTAACTTGATAAATAAGTTTAAAGAGAAGATCTTTAATTTTAAATTCCATATAAATATGATTCAATTATTTAATTCTTTGTTGAATCAATGAATGTTTAATTAAATAATCTTCCAATTGATGCAAAATTATGAGTTATAAAACCTTTAAATGTAGTTTTACCTTTTTTTGTAAATTCACTCGTTGTTGCATTAGTTCCACAATATAATTAACTAATAGCATCTCCATTTTCAGCCCATATTACTCTATATTAATTTAAAAATTCACATGCTTTAGTATCTTCAATCATAAATAATAAATCTAAATCATGATTAACTTAATATTTTGTTAGAATTAAATCAGTAATTCTTAAACATAAACGACTTTAATAAGCATTAGTTCTATCTAAACAATCTAAACAATTAACTCTATATGCTCCTTATTACATTGATATTATTTATTATTAATTTAATGTGTTTATTGCAAAACAATCAAATAAAATACTTTCCTCATCTGATTTTCTAATACAATTATCAATTGATTTAAATTTTTCATTTTTACAAATTTTATGAAAATCAATACGCTTTAATATAACTCCATCAATTTAATTTTTATCAACTAAACTTTAAAATGATTCATTTAGAATATTTTCAGATGTATTTTCCCCCATTAAATTAATACAACTTATATTTTTATAACATTCTTGCAAATCATTAAAATGTTTAAGATAAGCATGTTCACATAATAATTCATTCCTTGTAATTTTTACTTTTCCAGTTATTCCTTTTTATTTCCAAAATGTTGGAACACTACCTCTATAAATAACATGACTTAAACAAAAATTCTTTACCATTATTATAAATTCTGTTGCTACATAATTAGCTACATATCCATCATCATTTATTCCTCTATGATGAAATCTAGTACCTGATTAATATCTACATTTTCTACTAATCAATATATATTTTATCTATTCATTTCCTAATTTACTTTAAAATTATCCAACATATCCTTAAATCATTTTACAATACCATTATGGCTAGATATCATAATCTTAAAATTTATTTGTAAGATGATTATTCCATAAAAATTCAGAAAAGTCTCTATAATTATTTTTATAGCAATTCTATAATGGTTAGGCTGGATTTCCATTTAAACTAAAGTAAAAATGATTAGACAAGTACTATTAATTTATAAAATAGAATATTACATCTTTTATAGATTATATTTATCCATATTCATCGTAATGCATTTTTTTATCTAAAACAATTTAAAATCCTATAAAACCTACAGATTAAATTCTATAGTATTTCTATTTTAATACTTAAGCTACTAATTCGCATTTCTTACAAACAATTAAATATTTTTAAAGTTATCCTTAATATATACCTAA